CCTCAGAACCCACGATCTCTGTTCTTTGAACGTCAACACAAAAGTTGTAGGTATTCCCCTCGAAAGCTGCATTTATACTTTTTCTTTTTCGTTCCTGCCATCCTCACCATTTGGATCTTGTTTCGGCGGTTATAAATGGGACATTTAGTGTTGTCCAATGACGGTTTCTCATGTCGAGCTCCTGTATCGGTATCCTGGACACCTTGTAAATGGACTAGGTGAGTTAATATAATAAGTAGTATCTTATCGCGCTGTTATTGCCTCTCTTTACTTTTATACATCTCGAATTATATTTATGTATTCAGCGGTTAGAGTAATTGCTGTTTGTCCGCGATGCGTCTTAAGCCAATCCGTGGGAAATCCATGGGTTCGGTTCTTAAATGAAACAATTACCTACTTGCGTGTTTACAACACATTATTGAACCATTCCCGCATTATGTTTGTTTTTATTTTTCCATATAACCCTTCATATCTCCATATTTTCGAGCATCTCGGCGGTTTTCGGTTTTTTTCACACGGTTTATGTTATTAAACGCCGATGAATTTGCGTATACGAAATTCGATGGTAGTCTGACCATTTTGCATTTTATTGATGATAATCAGCGCTTCTAGTTCACATTGTGAGCATGCGTTAGCGATATTCAGTACAAGGTTATATTTCATGACCGCCCTTAGTCAGTTTTCCAAGACGTAATCATAATGCAATTATTTCCAAAGAAAGTTCTTTATTATCTATTATTGCACTTCAGATACCTATAGTCCGTTCATAATTTGTTGATAGCTCACTGCAAGTTTGACCCTCATTAGAGAACTGAAATACAGAGAGGACAGCTAATATGATATAATAACAAAAACCAAACTAAAACTGGCAGTTTAAGATGTTTTCGACTAACCCACNATTTTCGAAAACTCAGAAGAAGTTATTTTCGATACATTCATAATTTTTCAAAAAAATTAAATTTTCTACGAAAAGTTCACTTGTTGTTTTTTCAATTTTAATACTGTACCAGGACTCATTTCAACCATCGAAATGTCTACTTCATAATGGTACACACATGTTTATTCTTCATCTTCCGACTTGAAATTGAGAAAAACTGAAAAAATCGACCTTTCAGCTAACGAACCTTCTGATAATTAACATTGTTTTCTATTTTCCATTAATTCGATTCATAGTTAATATTATATATGTTTTATGACGTAATTACTAAATAGTATATCGATAGGTATGTCATTTCAGCTACATTTGAATTTTCAATTATAGATTTGGATTGATTGCTCAACAAAAATGAAAAACTGATTCACAAAAGATAGTCTTTTGNTGAAGGTTTCTGAAACAGCGAGACGCAGCAGAAAAATGAATATGTTTGTTTAATTTGTTATGACAAGTTGAACATTCGTGGTGGTTTTGGTACAGTTGCATTACTGAAATAGCAAACCTACCTTTAATAGAAACTTTCAATGCTAAATATAACTTCAACTTTCATACTTGAAATATGCATCAACCTATATACTAGTGAATCAGTTATTTTGATCAGATGTCCCAATAAAGATATGCATATCATATATATGAGGGTGGTTAACAAACCAGAATAATTTTGGGCAATCAAGAAATGTCATTCCGAAACAATACTAGTTGAACTAAAAAGATCCACTTAGCCCACCAGTTTTCATTTGAATAATTGTTAATGGTGTTCTTGAACATTATTATGGTAATCATCATAACGCGGTGTAATGATTATGTGTACACACACAACTGTAAATGATATATTTAAATTGCTTCTGGTCTACATAGTTTTCTGTTTGTGTCAATATTACACAAAGCGGCAGTTTTCATTACCGTATTGTAGCGAAATTAGAAAATTCTATTCATTTATTAAATCATTAATCGAATATTTAATTTCAATCATTTGCAGATCATTCAAATATTTTTAAATGAAGAATTGATTGTGACGACTAAGGTCAATAGATATATTTGTATAGAAATAGTAACCGCCTTGAGCAGATAAGCCAATAAATTATGTAAACACATACATGATCCATTGAACAGGTGGAATTACTGATGATTTTGATAGGTGATAGACGAAGGAACTATTTCCTTTCTCCATTAGATGAGTTCAGTACATTTCATCCATTCAGCTTTGTCACTACCAGGACAAGAAGCATTCATTACGTACGATTTTAATGGTAGTAGTTGAGAAATCAGATGCTATCAGGATATTCAAGGTTCCATTTCGAAAAGGACATTGCAGAACTCAAAAATGATGTGTACTTAGATAGAAGTATCATATATCGTATCAATGCGGGCGCATTTGGTAGAACATACACTTTCACCAAGTTATGGTAATAAAAACTCTTCCGCTGCCAGTACATCAGCACAAACCACAAATGACCTGAGCTGTCGCCTGAGAACAAATTTGATGCTATTATTATGATCTGACATCATCTTTTGTAGTGGTGACATTGATTCAGGAAATGTTATGGACAACTCGGCATGAACAATAAAAATCTGCTTCTCCATTAGGAGTTGGCATTCTAAGGATTCAACCAAGAATAAATTTCCCTCGACAAGGTGGTCGAAGATTCGAGTTAAGTTTTCAGTAATAAAATAGTTCAGATTGAAGTATGTATGGTCATCAAAAGTTTCCATTCCTCTCTATTATTTGAGGGTATGAAAATAGGGTATTGAAGCATTTGTCAAGGCAGTTTATTTTCAACACTGAACTGAACACCAAAATTGTTTCGCTCAATTGGAATTCAACATAAACAGTTCTTCAACAACATAAAAATAAGACAATGCATGTGACAGTCTTCACCAACAATGATGGCATATTACATAAAAATGTATCTACCATGAATGCCTTTGGGTACACAGAGTCTAGTGTTTGAGTTGAAGATTATTATATCTCAATTTAGTATCGACCTCTTGTCTCACCCTGAATTCGGTTTTTCTGGTGTTCAAAAACATAGAAAATAATTATAACCTCATTTTGAGAAATGAAATAAACACAATGTACATTAGAAGGCGCCAAATAATCATTTCATTCTACTACAATTTTTTTTATATTCTGTGAATGTGTGTATTTTTCTCGGTTATATCAGCGTCGTAAAACTCATAATGGAATATTTTGTGTAGAATGGAATATTCTGCACTCACAACAAATTGACAGCTTCGGATAACTCGACTTCTCACTCATTCCTATCTCTGATTCACAGATGAATATTTATATCGGCGCACCTCAAGTGCCTCAGTAATTTGTTTTGTTTTAGCGATATCGCTAATTCAAGACATCGTCGATTTGATCTCCATTGTCAAAGATACATTCGGAAATATTTCCAATTGATTAAAACAAGCCTCCCAAAAATGAATTTAATTCAGTACCATCTACTGAATTTGTTCTGCGCTCAAGAAGTCATGCTGAGTAATCTGATTCGAAAATGCAGCCATAGCAGAACTCCCACTGAGATTCTGGAATTCTAGTAAAGCACGAATGACGTATGACGTTGAACAATATATACATGACATGACGAGAGACTGACCACTGCCGACTTCGTAACCTCGATTTTAATTACACGCGGGGTTATGTCATTGATTAGATTAGATAATCCATATTCATACACATTTCTCGTGTTCGAATGTGCATGTCACGTTAATGTTAGAAACCTATGAAAAATGTTTCTGCAATACCATCTCTTAGTGATTGACCTGTCAACTTTTGTATTTGGGTTTAAAAAATAATTTACAATATTCTTTATGCGATGTATATTTGGAAAAATACAAATATATCAAATTTTGAAACTGTTATTGTTTTTTCTTCCTTCTGTGAATTTTACAGAAAAACGTCATAAAAATGTTTGTAGCAAACAAATTGCCGACTTTCGGTTTGTGAGGTTATGACAGTTGTCATGGTACGCACCAAGACAATTGAGGTTATTACATTCGTGGTTGTGCGAGCATGAATATTTGTTGTGATATAATAGAAGCATAAGCAGGAATATCCATCACAGTGGTATTCACAATGCCGCGAGCAAGAAGATCGAATCTTTCACAACTAGAATATAATGTAATCAGACCACGGAATATTTGCTAATCATTCCACTGCAGATGAAGAAGAAATCGTACGAGAGAAGCGATGTGTTGCCAGATCTTTTGTTTTCTGTTTTGGCTTTCGACGTTATGTTCAACTGTTCAAGAGTTGAAATATACTGATGATCTACTAAAATCTACTTATTTTCTATAGTTATTATTTTTTTGGGATTGAGCTTTCGAAGAAAATATACATTGCTCTTGTACAAACTACTTATTCATCGTGGGTTTTTCTGCAGTTTTAATGTAGTAATATATACTAACAGTATGCAAATTTTAGTGACCTAATGAAATAATAGTTAAATCTTCAGTATTAGCAGTTGTATCTAAACAACGTTACGATGAAGTAAGTATACACTGTACATAGTCATTCGTATAGAAGTACTCAACTTATTTGCCATTCTGATGAACTCTCGCATCTGGGTGTAGCTTCCATAATTCTATAATTTTGAGATACTATCCTGGTGGGTTGTCCGGTGAATCAACACTAAAAATACTGAAATATCTGTACCAGCTCCTATAATGAATCATTTTGTGCAAATAAGCATGAAATGTCGAAGTCGATTAAATTCAGTGAGACAGCTTAATTACTAGCATTGTTCAACATTTTCTACTGGACGGATTATTATAATTATGGGTATTAAGTTTTGTACAACTATAATTTCGCGTCTCAGAAGTTACTCGAAAAAATAGTAATGTTCCAAGTGCGTAGGTGTGTCATGTTCCTAACTTTGCCAATTTCTTCAGCATATACACAAGTAATAATACAGGTTTCCGACAATTTCAATACCTTCTATATAGGTTTGAGTATGAAGTACGGTGTGGAGTATAAACTAATCACTTTCTATTGAGTATGTCCTTAGGCACTGCTGATGGGTGTATTTTCAGAACGAAATTCAATCGTAGAAATCATTACGTGCAAATTGTTTTCGCTGTATTCACCTTCAATTGTTTCACAATCCCTTTTATCTGGTGAATTGAACGTATGTATGGGTGTGTTATTAAAATGTTTTTGAATGAAAATTATGCGCCCGAAGAGACCGATGAGACGAGCTGATGTTCTGAAACGGACATTCAATTTAAATGCAAAGGAGGGATGAAAAAAGAGCAACTGAAAATTGCGAATAGATGACGCCAGTTAGACATATTCTTCAGGAATCCATAAACTTTTCAGCGACCTGAAACGGTGACGGACGAATCAGATAAGAAGCGTTTGCAGGCACGTATACATGTCGACTCGAGAGTTAATTGACAGGCCAATCAATGGGGGATTTTGTCACTAAACTCGACGCGACATTGATTGACTTAATATTCCACAGTTCAATTTCAATAAACAATGGGTAATTTCCAGTATACATTGAATCCGCCATCCGAATATACGTGATTTAATGTCGTTGTCATACGTTCTTCGATTGTTTAACAAAAAACCTGTTCGTTTTTTCATTACATTTTGTACTGCTTAACGAATCGTGAGAAAACTCCTGATGGCTCGGCTAATATTTATTGTGCCACAAAGACGGATTAAAAATCATTCAATTAATTATACACCGGATTTTATATTACTCCATTTGTACGAATTGAATAACTAGAATCAAGGTTTTTCTAACGATTCTCTCCTTTACTTTGTTCTGCGTTGTTACATCATAGAGCGATCGGTTCAAAAATGTTTAAGGAACTGGTCTCTTTTTTGTCTCATATTATTGACTTTCAATATTTACATTCTTTGAGAATTTGTTGATATATCATTTTTTTTGGATCATATCTGCACGATTTTCAACTGTTCATAATCTGAAAGGAATAAAATTGGAGATGTTAGCGTAGAATGAATGAAGGAAAACATTTTTTCTAACCACACCGCACTTAGTTAGAACACTAACATACCGTTCTGTTGATTTTCCAACTATTTTTCCAAAAGTTTTCATAAAAATGTTACACAAATTATATAATAGGTCCATTACCGTTGGAGATTTATGCTGATGAATTATTTTAATAAAATCGCAAAAATGTTTTGTTACCAGCAATATGTATGACATATGACATTAGAGAGAGAGAAAGAGACAGAGAAAAAAGTCTTGACTGCTTAATAACCACTATTATCAATCATCATCGGAGGGATGGCAATAATATAAAATTTGAAATTCATTTGATTCTAATGAAAGAAAATCTCATTAAGAAGTTATAGAAAAGTGAATAAAAAGAAAATATCACAAAGATTATAATGAAATATTATCTGCCGAATAGTAATGTCAAATGTGATAATTTTTATCTAACAACAGAAGAAAGGAATGCATTTCCCGCAAATGATTTCAATCAAATTTTTCAGTCAGACAATGTGGTCTAACTGAGATATAAGGTCATCTCAAAAAAATTCTCTTTGCAGCATTATTTTCCTCAGTTAGAATTGTAGTATTATTTTTTATGGAGCTAAATTTCAATTGCTTTTATGAGAAGTAGAACAGTCTTTCAGTTTCCTGGAAGTTTGACCAATATAAGTTTTATTTCGATGTGAACAAGGACTCGCCACTGACACACCAGTGGGGTTTCAATTTTAAAGGAAAAATAATTCTCTTGTTCCGTTTATTCACTGCTTCAAAATGTAAGATTATATCAAGAAAAAATTAATATTTTTACTACTGACACCTTTTAACTCCATAAAAATTATTCTAGATGACCAACACTATTAAAATAACCGACATACTCCCGCACTAAAAAAATCCTAATCAAAACTGATGATGACTGCGGACACTAATGGACCGAAACGGAATGACAAGACTATTGTGGTTTTTGTCGGGTACCTCGATTGTTGTACAGGGATACATTTTCAGATAAAAATAAATGTGTAGAATTCAATCGAGGTTATTATGTTTTGAATTCCTAGTTGTTGACGAAATTGAAAACTGATTATACGATTTTGAAACTGTAATGGGGAAATAAATAGATCGTCAATAGGTTTATCAAATGTGTCACTCTGAATAAGATTTTTCATTGCTCCATAAGTTTGAATGTCACGATGTATAAAATAAATATCACGTTGTAGGGCTCGACAGGTATATTTTATAAAGCGAATAATATCGTGTAGTATGGCAACAAGGAAACTGACCTAAATTGAATATCAATTTCAGAATTTTTCATTCCTAAAACAACATTTTACACTGAAAATTAATAAAATTGACGACATGAGTGTATCGTTTATTTGAATCTATAAACAGAAATAAGTGGCGAAAATGAATGAAATGTAAATGGTCACCATGATCAGTGAATCTTACGAAGATATAAAGACGTTTAAAAAGGTTATTATGTTCATAATAAATACAACATAATTTCACGGTACTTCATGATGGCGACACAAGAAAATAACTATACGATTTCTGGTTTATTATTTATTAGGTATATAATTCATTAATTAACGATTATGAACTGTCGAGTGGCTTCAAACATTGTTATTTACACAAGCTAAGTACGAGTAAGAGTAAGCGTGTGTATCATAAAAATGATTGTTGTTGATTGACCATATATTATACTATTTGTAAAAGGATATCCATCATGAGGATCTGGGAAAACATGAAACATACAAAAACGGTTGAATTACAGAAAAATGGACAAATTTGAAGATTATCAGGATGCCAATTTTCAAAGCGAGCTTCCATTTAAATGCTCTAAAAATATTTTTTTTTAATCAACGCATTAATTCATTATTAGGGAAATTTATATAACATAAAATGTCGCGAAATTCAACTATTTTATAGTGGTCGAATAGAACTTGAATTACTTACCGAACGTTCCGTCTGCTACTGCGGCAGACATTACAGACAACGCAGATACTACTGATGATGTCTGCCGCAGTAGCAGACGAAACGTTTGTTACTTTCGACAACGGCCTACCAGCTCGTATTTTGTTCCCCATTACGAGCACTATCTGGAGAAGGTTGAAAAACAAGAACTACTCATAAACATACTGAATTGTATGAAAAAAGTACAAGTTAGAAAAAGTTGGAGGGATGTGTTGAGGAAAGCCGGAAAAAGATGTAATGATGATTTTCTCGAAACACTTGTGAAATTACAAGTGAAACATTGGTATGTTAGAAGGTATATATCGTAGTCAAGGTCAATATACTCGTATGCTTAATGGGCCTACCAAGAACATATATATGCTATGGAATTGATCTGGAAATGATATTACGTACCTTGTTGAAAATAATTAGCTTTCCTGACGTACACACAAACTAGTGCCATAAGTTGTAGTTGCGAAAGTCTTTGTCTTGTCGATGGTGGCAAAGGTAATAGTTCGCGCAAATTTGCTATTTCTGCATTAATTAGATCCCTTCTCAATTTGCTGGCTCCTTTCGTTGATTTATTAGCATCAAACCTGTGAAAAAATAATAAACTCGTAGTCTTCGTTCGTATAAACACATAGGATTTGTAATATTATGAAATTGATTTCAAATTATTTTAGAAAAATTCAAAATCGAGGAATACTTGACACTCTTCAGATGTCTCGTAAAGTAACTAAGGTTAATATATTTTTGTTTTTCCTCGCAGTTTGTTCCTGTATTATATGAAAAAAATGTAAAAATTGAGGATATGTTCTAGCCAAGATTATTCGTAATCGTAATAACGGATGTCCGAATGTCGTATATTTAGACAGACTCTCGCGTTTCATACCCAAAACTATTTTCTTACCATCTAAGTCCTATAATCCGGAACAAATTACGATAAATAATTTTAACGACACCACTCTCTGGCATGTACCAGAAAAACTATACAAGAGATGAATAGAAATGTACATTGTAGACGAAATAGATTGAATTCCATATTTCCATCTATTGTTAACATGCCCAAATTCCTCGGTGGATGAAAAAAACGAGGAATTCCGTTTTAATCAACAGTAGTATGAAATCGCGTAAACCTGAAAAAGTGTTACAATCAAATTTTTCATTACACTCGTACTACAAAACCAAACAAAAACTATTTTAATTATTTCATGCGATCGTGACTGCATCTATAGCTGCAAACAACACAATAAATTAGTGAAAATTGTTAATTCACAATGAAAATGTCAATAAGAAGTAGTGTTTAGATTTTGAGAAGGGAGTTTCGGGCCATAAATATCAAATTTCTGAAGTTTATGGGCCAGTATAAACAATAATAGCAGTCAAAATATGTCGAGTGGGTATTTGTTCGATATAATTGACGACCGTCTACATTGAATGCCACTTGTTTCAAATAACTATTAATACAATTTCGTTTTCATTCATCTACAAACTCATAATACTCAGCAATGATTGGAGTGATATATTTTAATCAGTTGAATCCTGAATTTTGAGTAAAATAATTATAACTATAAATTAATTAGAGCTTTCCACGTTTCCTCCACTAGAATATCGAAAATGAAAATAAAAAAAAGATAGTAATGAAGATTGTCCTAAAACATAACGAATTCTCACAGGGGAGAGTGCTTGTCGCAATTTGCCCTTGTTCACGTTTCGGTGAATTGGTTTCACTTGAATATCTTCAGGCTTGATCAATACCGATTTAGTTGTCAATGGAATAAACAAACATGATCGTGGTGAAAATTTTAGTCGGTATTTTATTTCAGCACGATCGAATTTTCAGGCGAAACATTTAATCATTAGAAGGGTTATTTCACAGTGGAATAGAGTACTTTTTTAATTAATCGATTTTTATACTCATTGTAGCGAGAAATTCATGGGATTAAATTTAATGGAATTCATACAGTTTGATTATGTTTTTTCGTCGAAAAAATGTAAATATAATTGATACGTCGATGTATCACGAGGAAATATTTCAAGTTTTTTCATGGATTTACGGGATTGGGTATCGACGACAGAATGTTACACTTTAATGAAACGGTTATCTCAAACTTCCACAAATTCCAGATTGTTTTTTTTAATAAATGACGTGTCCTCGAACTTGTATTCACGATAACACAATTTGAACTATACCAAAATTAATTCTTCAGACACACTTCCGCTGGGATGTGATTTTCATTTGAAAAATGTTACAATTATTCTATAAAAAGAAAATAAAAATTGAAAATCTTATTTATCGATATGACCTAAAACATAAATTTGGCAATACGAGTTTTTCTTGAGGAATATAATCGAACTGAAATTACTTGAAGCTATTGCACATTCTAAACATAAATTTCTGGACATTTCACAGATATACGTTGTATAATAACTACGATTCTGTGAATCGTACAAAAAACTGACATTCACTACTAGATTTCTATTTTTTGTGCAGCAATTATAGAGTTGAAATGGAAGTGATCCTTTCTAATTATTATTATTACTTACGAGTGGAAGATATCTCGTTTTCGATGTCGGTTTCAGTAGAGAATGCGAACGTCCACAGCGGACATCTAAATTCACGTTACCCTAAGGAATGACAGGAATCTACGCCAGTGAACTTGGATTTATCTTGTGTAAATGCAAATTTAGGGCATAATTGTAGTTTATCCCAAGAAAGAAACCGCTTGCGGCGATGACTCTTGAAGTGATTAACCCTGACACAATGAGGATTATTGTATTTGTCTTTTTACGCCTAACGCGGTGTTTTCTCATTCTAGGATAAACGGCAATATATCTGAGAGGTATATAATTTTGTGATATATGGTGTTGCTTAGCTTAACAACAAATTATTCTATTCGTAATCACCACTTCTCGAGATATATGCAATATTCACATGAATATCAGATTCCACGAGAGGTGTGTACCTTGACTTCGAAATGGGCAGGAGCGTTCATGTTATGTAAACCGATCTGAGAAAAGTGTTATTCAAATTATGTTCAATTTTTTAATCAGAGACACTTTTTATTCTTTCAGTGTGTGTCTCAGCAATTCCAATTTAGGGTACCAAGAAAAACGCGTAAGTGATCAGTTGTACCTGACATTATTTTGCTGCTATCATTATTAAACTTTGACATTTACTATAAATGAATTGAAACCCGAGCAATGGTGTTATACAGTGTATCAATATGATGACGTACCATTAGAGAATCTAAAAATAAGCAAAAGCACGTCAAACTTAATTTTAAGGGTGACATTTTGTAGGCTGGTTTTCAATTGAATTAAAATAATCCTCTACCGTGGCCAGGCACAACCCCTAAAATCTTACATGAAAAATGGGATTGAGCGATACCTCATTTAAAAAAGAACGGCAACAATGTTCAATGAAAGATATCCTAACAGCAATTTATATCACAAATATGTACCGGAATTAGTTGCTGAATTTAGTCAAACTGGTTCCGTTGCTAACAAAAAAAAAGGCCGTGTTTTGGAAGAAACAGTAGATACAAATAGGAGTTTGAGGCACATTTACAGCATAACCCTCTACATCACTTCCTATTATGACACTCCAAGTAGAAATGTCTCACGAAACAGTAAGGAAAGCACTACAGTTGGCCTGGTATTCTTGGAAATACTATTATTAGACCTTCATTACTAAAGCGAAATCTTAACGGTGAGCACTACTGAAATCTGTTTAAAGTAATGATAGACCCCAAAAATAAAACTAATTTGGAAAATCAAATTGTTGCAGCCATTAACATGATTTTGCAAGACGATCCTTTTCACTCTCGCCAAAATAAAGCTCCACCACACTACTTTCTTTCAGTTAGAAATTGGCTAAATGATAGATTTCCTGGCGGATGGATTGGTCGAAGAGGAGCAGTAGAATGGGAATCACGATCACCCGACTTATCACCTCTAGATTTCTTCCTATGAGGGTATCTATAATCGAATGTCTATAAAACACAGCCCCGAGATTTGGAAAATTTGAAGAGCAGAATGACAGCTGCGTGTGAAGAACTCCAGGCAGAAGTTTTTCTAGAAGAAAACAATATCCATATTTTCAAAATTGAACAGAAAATCTATTCAGAATTCTTTAATTTCCTGTCACAGTTTCCAAAAATAAGTAACTCGTCCTGTTCTGCAAATGAGTTGATCGTAAAAAAGGGACGAAAGCGGCACTTTAAACTGGTTGATTTATGATATAAAGTATATTTATAGGTCACTTAAACCTTCGAGCTGCGATAGGTTGTGAAAAACGTGTTTGGCATTCCGTTCTTTACGGCCTAAACAGTATCGTCCTTAAAGCTGTAAGGTAAGGACATCACGGTATAGGTAGAACATAATTACCTACATGTGAAGTTAAGATACACGGTTTCAGTAATTAACAAGCGGATTTATTAAGGATTGGCCACATGTTCACCAACACAACACTGCCTACCGTTACAAATACGAACACCTAGCTTAACGGGCTCCCAAGTCACGAAAATATCGGCAATACTGATTTCACTCCAAGCAAGTTGATTTATTGAAAAGACAATACAAAATCAAATATCTTTTTCAAGATGATCTGAAAAAAGAAATAACATCAAAAATAAGGTGAAAAAAATACACCCACAGGCGTTGTTTTTTTCTAGTTTCTGCCCGCAACGAATACATTATTTGTCAATGACTTGAAAGATGTTATTCTTTATAGTGAATTTCTTTTGTTTGCTGATGACCTGAAGATGTTTAAAGTTATTCATGACTCAACTGATACAAAATTATTACAGTACGATTTATCTAACTTTGTTCGCTGGTGTGATATAAATCTACTGCAATTAAATATAGACAAATGTCAAAAATTTACTTTTTTCGAAACAAAAATCCCATTAACTGGCCATATAAAATCAATCAATCAGAACTGAAAACAACAAACACAATCAGAGATTTAGGAATCACTCTCGACCCAAAAATGTCANGTGTAGGGTGTTGAGACTGGCCTGAACGAATTGTTCTTTTAGATGATTTGATTTATAGCCAGTCTTCAAGTATGCCCACTGACTATACGTGAAACATTCAATGTAGATTTAGATTTTTTAAATTCTTCTTTGGAAACATTTAAAAAAAATGTGAAAAGATTGTAATTCTTCTATTCAATCCTTTGAAGCTGAAGGTATGATGTCTGGATTGATTTCCTTTCGTTTGTCGTTAGTATTTTGCCAGAGCTTTTTTGTAATCTCCTAATGATACAATCAATGCTTTCCTAAATGCTTTGAAGCCTCATTAAATATTTTGTTATAATCTGTGTACTCAGCCTGATTTTATGTGTTCAAGAAAATATCAAGCATTGGAAATTCATAATGTATAATGTTACTCGTGTGTATTTCTTCATATTTCTTATTAATTTCTAAAATATTTCAAGATGGATGTATATTTAAATGCACTGTTTGGAACCTTTGGTGTAGAAATGAATATTACTGGAGTTTTTTCCCAACACCAAATCGTTATTTATAACACCTCGACACGTGTTTCGATCACCAAGTGATCATCTTCAAAGAGGGAGATTAAAACTAGA